TTTCCCAATCAAAAGTCATAGAGTGACTGAATGGATTTAAAAAACCAAAATCCAACCATATTCTGCCCACAAGAGACTCACTGTAGCTTTAACAACACACAAAGGCTGAAAATGAAGGGTCAGAAATCAATATTCCATGCAAATGGTAAACAAGAAAAAAAGGGCTATTCTTATAACAGACAAAATAGACTTTAAGTCAAAACTGTCACATGAGACAGAAAGGGGCATATGTAGTTGATAAATGGATCAACTCATCACGCGGATCTAATAAATTCAAACACATAGGCACTCAACATTCGAATCCCTAAATATATAAAACAAACATTAACAGATCTGAAGGAAGAAAAGACAGCAATACCCCACCTTCAGCAATGGGTAGATCACGCAAAAGAAAGCCAGTGAGGAAACAGCGTACCTGCACAACCCTACAGACCGAATGGACTTAACAGATACATAACGGTCCATCTCACGGGAGCAAAATGTACATTCTTAAGTGCACAAGGCAGATTCTTTAAGACAGATAAAATGGTATGGCACAAAATAAGTCTTAAACTTAAGACTGAAATCCTATCAAGTACCTTTTCCAACTACAATGGTATGAAACTAGAAATCAATTAACAGGAGAAAAGTCAAAAAACTTACAAATATGTGGAAATTAAACAACACCCTCCTGAATAACCAGTAGGTCAAAAAGGGTATCAAAATGTAAATGAAAACTGCCTTGACACCTACGACTGAAACTTTACGCTGTACACCAGAAATCGACACAACACGGCAAACTGACTTCACTTCAATTGAAAAAAAATGTAAAAAAGAAAAACCTATCTTGAGACAAATAACGGAAATACAACCTACCAAAACCTACAGGAGGCAGGAAAGCAGTACTGCCAGAATGTTCACACACACTAACATTTACACGTTCAAGGTTTCCGGGCATCACAATCCACTGGCCCAAACAGCAAAGCACCCAGATACGCTCCCCTGGGCCAGTGGAGAGCCGCCGTGGCGCCTGGGGGACCACGACACTGTGAAAGTCACACTCACAGTTGGGGAGCAGCTGTATCTTTCTGGGTGATTTATAGCATTTTTTGTTTGGGGCCAAATGTGTAAAACAGACTTTTTCCAAGTCAGTTTTTTTACACTGTATTTTTGGTCCTTGGGGTGTTCTTCTGGCTTTATTTTAATTCCTAGGAAACAGTTCGCTACCTTATAAAAGTTGCAAACATACGACTTTGGAGAACACAGAGCAATAATAATAGAATTTCAAATCGTTTAGCACTTGTGTTACATTTAGGATAATTAAAGTCACACAGAAAAATTCAGATGCAAGACAGTATTGCAGGCAATCACAGCAAGGCCAGTCCAAATTCCTTATCTTTCCTGTGTCTCCACCTCTGGCCCCCAGCTTAACCTCCCGACACCTCTGAATGCCCTTCTGTGCTTCACGCCCCAACATTCCTTTGCCACGCGCCCCCGCTTCACCTGCTTTATTTTCCTCCGTACCATTGAATTTTATTATTCTACATTTCACTTGTTCATTGTTTGTTTTTCTGTTTTCCCCTCATCAGAAGGTAAATTCCATGAAAGTGAGGAACCACATATATATTACTCACTGCTAAGCCCCCGTGTCCACACGGTAACTGGAAGAGTGCATGTGCTTAGCCTGTATATGTAAAGTGTAAAGGACTGATTTCCTACTGGAGATTTATCATGAAAATGTTATATTTATTTGTACATGTTATATAATTATTGATAAATTAATACAAAATGTTTATGATATGTTCAATTTTATCTTCATCCTATTATAATTTCTACAACCTAATAAT